ACTCTGGACTTTGTCCCGAACCCCGATTTGTCCACACCTCAACGGCACGTCCTCAACGAATCCTTCAAGGGTTAGACTAGCCTTGTGACTGGTGTCTCTTCGGGTGACAGTCCCGTTACTATTCTCGATAAACTTGAAGAGTCTTCTATCCCTTTCCTCGAAGTCAAAAGGAAATAATAGAGGAAATCGAACCTAGTGAGGAAACACTCTTATCTACTATAACGTTACAGGGTGCAATTTTACCTTCGAATATTTTACATTTTTTTTTTTTTTAGAAGGGCCTCCCCTCGTACGGAGGACCTCGGGTAACATCTAGACTCCAGGTTTGCGGGGTGTGGTGGTTAATTTGCATAGTACCTGATATAGTTGAAGACTTGAAACGACTCGGCTCTTACATGTATCTGGACATACATATTCATGAGGCGAGTGGTTGTGTAACTACACAACTGTTACTTTTATTGTATGTACCTTTTCAAGTGACGTTGTACTGAGTCGAAATGATGTATAGATAGTAATTTGTAGGTCGATGGATACATTTGGGTTTACTATGCTTGGCACTGTTAGAGTGTTTTCAGAACTACTTTGACTTGGTACCATGGGTGTTCTATTGTTTTTTATTTGTGACGGTGAGCTAATATGAGAAGAAGATGGCAGGTGATGTGTTGACACGTCACTACGTAGATAACTATACATAATCAACAAGAACATATATAAGACAGTAATTCAAGTAATCCACCTTATACATTTCATTGAATTGATATTCATGTGTGGTCGATATACTCAATCTATCTCGAAGGGAACACCAAGGTAATGTCAGCACGGTCCCTGGAGACGACGCGACACGGGGCACTCAGTTGCAGGCCTAACTCCTCAACGAAGCCCAGGGGCACTATGTCTGGTCCTATTACGCCGCTCCTTGCGACCCAGCTTTGTTTCGCATACTTTAACTGCGGTTTACAAGTGGGGGGGCGGGGCGGGGCAGGGCGCGCGCGCTGGCCGCGGTCGCGGGGGCGGCGGGCCGGTGGGGCGACGAAGAGCCCACAGGAACCAGCCCGCGCACTCAAGCGCGACGCGACACCTCCCATCCATAAGCAATTCGATAGTTGGGTAAAATTGAGTTGCGGACACGACCGTTGTGCGGGGGGGGGGGGGGGGGGGGGGGTGCACATGTAGTTGAGTGACCTAGTGGGTGCGCTCAGCCGGCTGTGTTACCCATGGTCTGTTTGTGTCCTGAATGTGGAGCGTTTGGAGTCGTATGATTGAGCTGTCGGCAAAGTTCTTCCTTCTCGACAAATTCGAGTATCGATGTACGTGACAATTTTTAGATTGTGTTATTCGAGATTTCTCGTCCCCCACCCCGGGAAAAAGGAAAGTTCCCGCGTCAAGTTACACAAATGTTGTAGGAAGTGCGTCCCGTTTCGCACCTTAATGGAACGTCTTTGATGTCTTGCGAGGCATACGAGATTTATGATTTGAGTGTCGGTAAGTAAAGCGGGAAGAGAAAGTAAGATAGGTACACCTGGTACTATGGAGATTTCTAGTTTTCCTCTTGTGTGGTTTTTTTCGTTGTTTGTACACAGTCTCTCTCCCCACAAACCACAGATTATTTGGAGTAGATCCTGCTCCAAACCCCTATCTGGTAGCGGTGGTCCTTTAAACACAATTTACAACTTACAATTTTCGTAGTTGAGGCCACGTGAGGGACTCTCGGTTGTAGCGTTCTCCTAGATACCTATGGTAGGATAGTTGTGGTAGTTTTATTACTTTTGTCCTGTGTTACATTGTCTAAGAAAAAAGTTTACAAAGTACCTATTATAATGTCTTTTAGTCAAGGGAAGTTAGTTGACGTTATAAGAACAATACATGGGTATGTTGAAAAAAAATTACGAGGTATAATCATAACATAATGGACAAACTGAACTGAGAATAGAATAGATATTGGTAGGAGTTGTACTATGATGATGTCTGACAACGGAAATCGGGAAGTGAGCAATCATCTTTTTCGAAGAATATAAGCAAATCGCTTATCGGTAGTCTGGTATTGTTCGTGTACTAGTATTGATGTGTCTGAATTCATTTATATACTGACAGCGTACTAGTCATACTTGTCGTTAGTGTACTGTTGTCTAGAGTGGCCAAGTTATTTCTGCGGTCGGTGTCGTGTTTTAGACTCCGTACCACAATGTCTCTGAGTTTATTATTTCCGTATACGTTTAACACTTTTAGTCCTCATGGCACAGGCTAGGATATGTAGAAATAAAGGGCTGTTTGAACAAGGGCTATGAAGCATAGTCAGGCCCTCACGCATCTTTCGTAAAGCGTGATCTTTTTATTGCGTGTTAAAGCTAGCGAA